AGCTCGGAGGGGCCCGGCGCGCGCAAAGCTCGAGCCCCCCTCGCCTCGCCCAGCTGTGCTGACAGACACCCGGTTCTCCCGTATCCAAGAGCAGCGCTCCCGGCCTTGGAGCACCCTGGCTTTTTGCAGTAATGAAATAGGTTTATTCTCTTCTGTTGGTAAAGTAGGCTTAAAAAGGTGCTCGTTGGATCCCACGTTAAGGTGCTGTTATCCCCCTTTTGGGATTAATTTATTTAGAAACTCTTATGGCCACCTATCTTATACAAGATCACCCTATTCAGTAAAAACAAATCAACCAACCAAACCCCACAGCAACAGCGGACTGGGCGGCTATATTAAATGGAATTAATACTACTACTACTAACTCCATATATCCCAACCCCAGCACCGCAACATCCACTACATTCCCCATGCTCCTACATTTGCTGGGCTCACTTCTATCCTAGCCCAAAGCCTGGGCAAAGAGCTGGATCTTCACAGCCTTCCGAAGGCTAAAAAAAAGGGGGGGTGTCCAAAGGTTATTTTGAATGCCCAGTTAGAAGGCCCTGTCCTGCTTTTTATAGGCATTATAATTAGCAGCATTGTAAGCTTATGTTCATGGAATAAACATGAGAATAAGAACTTAATCCCTTGTCTCTGTGTAACTACGGTAGAAGGATGGCCATTTGGAAGAAGTAGCATGCCCTGTTTCTGGCTTCCTTGTTTGGCCTTCTGGAGCCAGATTCCCTCGAGGTGTGTGGGGCTACATGTCCCATTGAGGAATTCCAGAGGGTACCATGTTGTGGAAGGCTAGGGCCTAAAGAGTGTACTGCCATGGAATGGTGTGGTTTTCCTTCATCATTGATATGTGAATGGTACTTCTAGCACTGGGAGCAAGTGTTCTCCTGATGGCCACAGACTTTAAGTAGGGGAGCTTTGCAAGACCTCTGACCATAAACTGTGCTCCTGAAGAGGAAGCGGAGGATGGTTTCAGCACAGATTTGGTGCTTTTTAAAAGAATGTCCCTCAGTGACCCTTATTTCCTCCTGCAGCATCTTTTTTGCCTGTTCTGGTCTAGCCTCCGCGTGCACCCCAGAACCTTGCTTCTGGAGGTTGCGCACAGTCTCTTGGGAAGTAGCAGCTGATGGTTTGGGGGTAGCTGTAGAAACTCAAAGTGAGATGTTGATGGTCAATAATTGTTTGAATTGCATGTATTTAAGACTCTGAGAAGATAAGAACCCTGCGTGAATAATCCAGAATCTGCATTTCCTTCCCTTTAGCGTTGCCTGTCAGAACTTATCCAATGGGACCCACAGAGCAAGAGGAAAGTTGCCGCTGCAGAAATTGCATCTTGTTTCACGGAAAACTCATCATTCCTGCCATCCCATTTCCAAGTTACCAAGGCTTCTCTTACGGACCTTGGCACAACCATACTCCACCCTTAATCGCCTTCCCTTGCACAACCCCAGGCTCCTTGTAAAGTACGGGTTCCAGCCTTATAGGAACTTTTGGCTTGCTCGAGTAGCGTCCAGGCTGTTGCGGCTCCGCTATATCGTCCTAGGTTCTGCGGTGGGTGGTGGCTACACGGCCCAAAAGGTAGGCAGTTCTGTAACGGAGACTGTTCCGATTATCTTTTCTTGAGGATGGTTTGTTTTTGAAATTTGTATAGTCTAGGTATCCCTTCAAAAAATAGAAGTTGGAGTAGAGCGTACACAAATGGTTATCTAGGTGGTGGCTGTCATCTTACATGATATACAAGTTATGGAACTGCAGGGATCTCATTAAGTATATTGGCAGAATATGAAGAATTGTGGGAGAAGGAAGTTTCCAGGGTTTGTTCCCCCACGCTCCTTTTCCATTCCTTTTTTCTCTTGGGCCACCTTCTTCTCACTCAGACCCCAGAGAAAGGAGGTTTCAGCATGGAGCCAAAGGGCTTGAGCAGAGAGCTCGAAGCCCCACGGTAGGAGGCCGCTACTGAAAAACATGAACACAAGTCCAAGAAACCCAAAACGTGGCACTGCATTGTAATATGGAAAGAGTAGAAGATGATTACATATTTGATTGGGGAATAATCATATGAACTGTATTTAAATTCTGTATGAATTGGAAATACAACTGAGTTTTTGTCCTGGCCCCACCAAGTACTTTTTGGAACGAGGCCCATAGAGTTCAGTGCCCCCCAAGTTGTTCTTCTCTGGCATGAAGCTCCTCTTTGTTCTCTCTGTGAGGGCTCAGGTTAGCGCTTCTACTGCAGAGGGGCAGCTATTAGCGATGGGCAGGACGCGCACCTGGCACGCGCTCTGCTCTATACCAAGAGATGGCAGGAGGAGGAGCCTGTGCAGGTACGCTGCCCTTCCCGTGGAGGAGGGCCTCCTGCAGCTTTTATTTCCTTCATTCGCAGCAGCCCCTAAGGGGATGCCCTGAGAGTGGCAGGGGGAGCGGAATCCAGAGAGGCCTAGAGCTGGAGGGGGCCACTGAAGCCTTTGGCATTCACCCTGCGCCCAGGGCCACAGTCTAAAAGCATCTCAACAGACAAACGCACCCAGCGAAGCGGAGGCTTTCTGCAGAATTGGTTCTGTTGTTGAATTATTCTTCCTGTTAGGAAAGTTGAACTAACATCCAGTCAGAATCTGCTTTCCTGGAACTTAAAGCCTGTATTCTCTCTTGCCCCAGAGGGTTAACGGGGGGGGGGGAGAGGTTAAAACCATTGTACAAGGAAGGAGGTTCAGGCTAGAGGAACGGACTGCCACATGCAATGGTGAGCCCTCCTTTGCTAGAGGACTTCGAAAGGGCAGGATAGTCACTGTAGTGGATCATGCGCTGAGCGGAAATGGCAGTAAACTAGAGGACCTTTTCCCCCTATAGGCTTCAGGAGAAATGAAACAGGATGCATAGATATGTTTTGCAGGTATAGGTTTGAATGAGTTGTCTTTTATAAATAAAAGGATTCTAAGAATTAGACATTTCTGTTCAAAAACAGAATTTCTTCCCTGACCAGCAACATTGATTCTAATATAAATATTTTCCTGACATTTAATTTAAAAAAATTAAATCCTTTTCTAATTTAAGTCATATTATGAAAATAGGTCTCTTGAGTTTTTCATTCTGATGTGCCTATAGCAAAAGTCCTTCCTCTTTTTCAAGGTCAGTACCAACTGTTTTTCATCTTTCTCACCAGATAAATTTGATTCACAAGCTTGCAATGTAAAAGAAATTCAGCATGAATCTTGTTGAAGTTGATTTGGTTTTTTTTCATGCCCATCAGATCCATGGCAAAATGAACACTTTCTAAAGCAGGTCCCAGAATATTATCCTATCCCCCTTCCCCAGTATTCTATTCCTAAAGCTAAACTCATCCCGGTCCTTTACTCTCTCTTCACAGGGCTTAGTTTCTAGTTCCCTAATCATCTTCACTGTTTTCTCTGAGTCCACTCTTGCATCTTCAAATCCTTCTTGAAGTTTGGTGCCCAGGCCTGGACACAGTAATTGAGGTAGAGTCTGATCAGAGCAAAATAGAGTAAAATGATTACTTCCTGTAATTTGGAAATTATAGTTCTGCTAATGCATCCTAAAGCTATACTTGCCTTCTTTACACCCATATCACACTACTGGCTTATATTCAGTTTGCAGTTAACTGCTACACCCTCTCCTCATTTAGTGACTGCAGTCCATTCCAGCAACTTTGTTGTTGAGGGCAATGATCACTAAGTGAACACTTGACTGAGAGAGAGAGAGAGAGATGCTGTGAAGATCACTGGTTGCTGCCATCTCATTCAGATAAGGTTCTCTCCTACAGTGTCCTGTGCCTGACCTGTTTTTTTCACCCATTTTCTTGCCCCCTTGCAGGTGGGAGAGATTGCTTAAACAAGCTATCTCTTCTGAGCTGCTTTTCTCCCAGAGCAGTGTGTCCCTAAAAAGTGCTAACTGCAAGTTAACAAGCTCAGTTGTGTGACCTTAATTAGTTGATTAGAACCTCCAACTCTCACTGTTGCCTGAAACTGACCAGACTTTAATCAGTTTCATACTGAAGTCTTTTGCTGTGAGGCACAGGAAATTTGATCCTAAATGCAGGCATTGGTTGGAAAATGAATTTTTTATTACCATTTATTACCATTGTATTTGCAAATGGTCACTAATCAAGGTAGTCGCTAAACAAGGAGCGGCTTATTCCAAAACACCGTTACTAAGTCATATATCCTCCAATCTGTATCTGTGCATTTGTTTTCTGTTTTCTAGATGAAGAATTTTGCAGCTGTCTCTGTTAAATTTCATCCTGTTAATTTGAGCTAATTTTTCTGACCCATCAATAAGATTTTGGATTTTATTTCTGTTTTCCAAGGAATTAGCTGTCCCACCCAAGTGTACATCATCTACAAATATAATAAGCGTTCCTCCTCCATTCGTCCAAATCATTAGTTAAAATACTGAAGGGTGGAGGGTCCGGGGCTGACTTTGTGGCACCTCTCTCTGATTTGATGAGCCATTGGAGAGGATCTTCTTTTCCTCACTTTTTGATAACATGGGCGGCATTTGTTCTTCTGCCTTTTTCTGACACTTGACCAGTACTCCAGGTTTTCTCAAGGGTAATGCATAAGGAACATCCAGATCATCAGCTAGTTCCTTTGATGCTCTAGGAGCAAGTCTGAAGGTTTACCTTTCTTTTAAGTAGAGGTATGTTCTCTGGCCATGTTTCTGTCCACTCAGGCTTCAGTCATGCTCTTCAGTTTCTGTGAACACATAATTTTTTGTTGGGGAAGAACTGAGCCAGATTTGGAGTTGAGTGACCCTGCTTTTCCTTTATTCCCTGAATGTGGTCAGGAAATGTCACCTTCTCTGTCATGTTACCTCCTGAAATGGAGACACATGGGATTCGAAGTGGCCGCATGATTGTGTTATGGAACTCAGCGTTGCAGGATTGTAAGAGCCACTAGCATCGTGTCTGTTACAAGGGTTAGGAAAAGACAGGAAGGCTAGATTTTTCAAGATCTGTTGGTGTGACAGTCCAGTTGGCATTCATAATTCTGTACAAAAATGGCTACTGACTGCTCAGAATGACTCTGCAAATAGGCCAGTTATTTAAACTGAGCCGGGAACCCAAAGGTAAGTTAAGCCTGGAATATCCTAAGCTCCTTACTAGTGCCCTTTTGGTTATAATAAGCGACTCAGTTCTGTGTGGTTACCATAATCAGATTTAACGCAGCCTTGAAGTCTGCCAGCAGTAGCCAGATGGAAAAATGGCAGCCCAGAAGAATGGATCTAATTGAAGTCCTCCTTCCCAACCTGGATTCATGTGTGGACTTCAATGCAAAAGTCCCCAGCCAGCCTTTTGTAAGACTTGAAGCCCACTCATCTGGAGGGCATCAAAGTTGGGAAAGGCTGCTCTAAGGATTAAGGAGCAGTGGGCTTCTCTGGAGGACACTCCACGTAGGATAGGGGATTGGTACTAGACCTAATGTAAAAGTCTTTTGTGCAAAACCCAACTCCCAGGTTTCACGTGGCACCCATTTCTCAGTAAACTAATTTGGCTGCTTGTAGAAGTGACCTCAGGAGTTACTGTTTGATAGTCAGAAGTCAGCCGTCTGGGATGATAACCTGCAAGCCTCTCATAGTTATCATGGTAGAACTCAGTCTGCCTCTGCCTGCTCCTGTTGCACGCCATGTTTCCAGTCTCACAGGCACATTCAGATATGAATTTACATTAGTGGATTTCTTAATATGTAAGAACTAGTTGATCAGGACTGGATTTTGTGGAAGATTTTTTCAGGTTTCTCCTACGTATACAAAAGCTTGATGATCTTTTTTCTGACTTGTTTTAGACGTATAACCAGTGGAAGGATGCTCTGCCTGACCTCAGCGAATATAAATGGATTATTCCTGACTTCCTGTGGGAAATGGATGAATACATTGATTTCGGTTGGTGCTTAATTCTCCTATCACCTCTTACACAGTTCTTGTTGAGTCCAGTGTGATTCCAGATGTTTGTTCACCAAATCCAACTTTTGGGTTTTTCATTGGTGTTTTGATGCTAATCTGGGGTATATAGTATAGCAAAGCTCCTCGTTTTCTTTCCAGTTTCTTTCTTTGCTTCAGAAAAGTTTGTTTATTGAGTTTGTATAGCCGCCCATCTCACCTGCATGTAACTCCGGGAGACATCACCCTTAAAGCAGTCAACGTAATTTACCCTTTAAAACCAAGTTGTTCTCCTGCCCACTTTTGCCCCTGTGGCAAGGGAAGCGCAGAGGGTGGCATTCGCTGTTTGCTGTGCTGGTAAACCACACAAAATGTTTAACCTCAGTTTTATACAGGAAAAGTTATTGATCCAATTGCAGAAGAATCTGTTTTCTGCTGGCTTGCGCTCATACATTTTTCCTGGCTAGAGCAGCCCTTCAAATCCATACAACCTTTTGTCTGGTGCTTTTGCACAAATGTTCTGTTCTCTCTTTCTTGGTGTACTTTATTTATTACCTGAATTATATCCAATTCAACACTCACTCATATCGTAACCAAGCCAAGCACAAAACAAATTCAAACCCATAATAATTAAATCTAAGCTAAAGCTAAAATTACTGTTACAATTAAAAAATAAAAAATTAAGAACAGTACAGCAGGAGGGCATCTTAACCCCCACTACTTAGTTAGTGTTTCTGTTCTAATTTTTATTTACAGCATTTAGAAAGTCGGTGGATTATTTTCACTTTTATATTAGCTGCTTGTGAAAATATATCTGTTGTAATTTTTCAACATTTTGTGTTACTTTTTGTACTAGTATTTTGTTCTGTTTTACAGTGAAGACAATATAAGAACAAATAACTTAGAAAGAAAGGCAGGAGAAAACCATATCAGAGCAGCTGCTACTCCACTGGTAGCTTGACTAGATTTTGACTTTATTTTGCTGTTATGTTTTATAAATTGCTTTTTTTAAATTGCTGTAGGCTGCCTTGAGTATTTACATAACAGAAAGGTGATGAGTAAAACATCTGCTTCCCATTTCTGGACTGGTAAACAGGCTTTGTCAAGCCCCCTCCCCCTTCCCTTCAGGAAGGAGAGAGCTGCTCTTAGCCTTTCTCCCGGGCGCAGATCTCCACGGTTGGCAGCAGAATCGAATCCTTTCAGGGCCTCGGCTGCCCTCTTTTCAGGAACTTATGGCCTCAGGACCTGCCTGGTTTCAGCTAGTCTTTGGTGGGGTTCTGGGCTCTGGGCTCCAGTCAGATGTCCCCCCTCAGATGCAGTGATATTACCTCCTGAAATGGAGACACGTGAGAACCAAAGAGGGAGGGTGCAAGAGTTGTCTTGCCTTTCCACATATAGAAGTCTTCTCTCTGTGTGTACGGAGCATCAGGAGCAGAACTGACCAGTTTGTTCTTGGCTTCATATGAGCTTTGAGTTGCTGTGGCCGGTAGCCTGTGAGGTTGGAATAATTCCAAACATCAGGGAACTTGTTGATCCTTTGAAGATATCATTTGCTGGAAGGTTCAGCCATCTTTTATAGCAGTATTGCATGAAGTGCTCTGCAAAATGTAACAAACTGAAGCAAAACTGATTTTTTTTCCCCATTAAGAATCTGTTCTTTGTTCCTAGAAAAACTTAAAAAGGCTCTTCCAGATTCTGAAGAGCTGGCAAAACTAATGCCCGACTTCCACAAGATCAGCGAGAGCATCAGTTCCTTGTCCAGTTTCTTCACACCTGGTAAGGGAATTTTTTCCTCTGGCAGAGTGAGACACAATGAGTATAATCTGGAGAAGCTAGAAAGGAATCACCTTGTATGTTCTAATCCTTTTAATCTTAGGCTTTGTGAAAAGCACCGGGGGCTGCCCCTGCTCATCCTGCCTCCCCCTGCAACCAGCCAGGGTTCCCCCAAGCCTTCAGACCTGTCAGAACTCCCCCTCCTCCCTCTTTGCTCTCCTCATTAGAGACAGCCTAGAAAGTGGGTCCCTCCTGGAGGAAACCACTTTTTCAGACCACACTAGTCTCCAGGCAGAGATGATGTGCATCTTTTAGCTCACAGGTCCAGCAGTTTCTTCTTAGGGATGTTCCTGGTGCTGGTTCTGGATCCTGTCCAGGGAGTTAATCCCAGACCTGATTCCTCACTGAGTTGGTTCTCCTCTGCAGCAATACGGTCATTCTATATGGACGCCAGCTTGCTTGCTTGCTTATTTATTAAATTTGTATGCCGCTCATCTCCCCCAACGGGTGACTCTAGGTGTTATAGCAACTTGAGCGTTGCTATAACGCTGCCTCTTACCAGATGTGACCTGGGAAGTGGTGTTGTGGAACCAGAGGCAGCAGCCGATGCAGGAACGTGGGAGGAAAAGAGTGGGCGGCTGCCCCTCCTGGAAGCTTCCGGTGCACTGGCTTTGCCTTGAGAGGGGGTTGGTTATTGGGGGTGGCGGATGGGAGGAGGAGAGGATATGCTCAGAAACGTGGTACCAGTAGATGAGACCCTCCTGTGTGCTTCTGGATTTTGGAAATTGGAATGTCCTCTTCCCTTCATGGTAGTTCATTTTTGGTCCACCCCCTTGCCAATACCTTTGAGAAGGTTGTGGTTGTGTCTGCGTGGCCCTTGCTGTTGATCCTACCATGTGGTGTTGCATTTGCTTTGCCATTTGTAGTATTTATAATTTTTCTCCCCCCCCCCCCGCTGGTTTCTCACAGGTTACAATTTGGTTAATGAAGTCATAGGAGCTTCTGATCTACTTCTATTGTTAGGTGTGTAAGATGCACTTTTCTTTATTACCATTTAATATTCCTCCCTTTTTCAAAAATTGTAATAATAAATAAAATGCTTGCAGGAATAGGAGACAATGCCTCAGTTAAGATGGAATGTAATTTTTAAGACTTGTGAATCCCGGAGCTAGTCTTGGTGAGCTCAGGTCAGGCTAATAGTATCGTCTTTCCTTCGTAGAATAGTTTTTCAGTTTTAGAAAACAATTTTTAAGGAAGAGTGAGAAGTTGGAGCAGTTTTGTGCACTAAAATTCAGTGGCTTTTGAAAACTTGATTTTTTATTTCATTAATTTTAATTTGTCCCAATAAACACTAAAAATGACCAGTGAAGCAGAAAGGGAAGATCAATAAATTTTACATTGAAATAATATACAAGGTCTTGTGATGAGTCTGGGATACTCTTTCCATTCAAATAAACAGGAACAATTAAAACAGTTGCAATTTGATGAAATGTAAATTGCAAGTGTGTAAATGCTCTAAGCATATATTGTATAAAATGTCCTATTAGTAATGGAGAATCTGGGCAGATATAATTTAAAATATGTACATGTTCATCTGTTACTATGTCAAATATCTGTTCAGATGCGGGTGTAAGTTTCTTAAATACAACATTGCAGCAATTACTATTTGTCATTTCATTATTGAAATATTGAATGTCATTACCAATATTATCTGATTTTTAATTAAGATTAGACCATCTTAAAAATACAAGATAATAATCATAAATCACCTTGTTCACTGAGTGGAGGGGTGAATTAATTTCTGATTCTTGGTGCCTAAACCAAAGTTCAGCCATGCACCGCTTGATTTGCCCCCCCCCCGATGGCACTGCCCAAGGATCCAAACTTTGACCAACTGTCTCTCCCAGTTGCACCCAGTTTTGCACCCCCTCCTGTCCCAAGAGTGGCACCCCCTCTGTGCTTGAATGTGAGGAGCGTTTGGAATTCTTCCTCCTCCTCTCTTTGTGGATTCTTCCCCTGCCTGATGCGTAGACTTATTTCTGCCCTGGTGAACGCCCACGCTGCGTATGGCCCCTCAGGATCGGCTGAAGATTAATCTGTGTTTATAGTAGAGTCCCCTCAAATCCTTTGCCGTATTTCCTTTCTCTGCAGCTCAGTGTCTGTATGCCTACCTTGCTCTTTCAGTTCTGTGTGGTCTTTAACAGTGTTGACGTTTTGAACTGCACACTGCTGAAGTTCAGGTTGCAATCTCTGCTTGTACCCCTTCCTGTTATTCTTTGTCTTCATTTCGCTCATATTCTATTTGGCTGTTTGCTCATTTGATTTTATTATGGAATCGATACCCTGCTTCTTTGTTATGCCAACATCACGACAGCTTGCAGCAATAAAAACAGAATAAAATCAAAATTCAAGTTAGTCCTCATAATATAATTAGCTACTAAAAGCTTGGTGAAAGAGAGCTGCTTCCTCGTGGGAGCCAAACGCACCCTCTTACGGAGTCCCTGCCCTGCCCTGCCGCAGCCTAGCACCCTTTCCTGTGTTTCCAACCCCAGAGCACCCGGCAGCGGGGCATCTTCAGAAGGGCCCCTTCTGTAGGGAAGGCAGTCAGACCCTACGCCCTGTGAGGTTTAAAGGAGAACACCAGGGTCTTAAATTGTGCCACCACCCGCAGGTGAAGGCAGCTCCGGAGCCTCCAGTGAAGACGTTGCAGCAGGCGCAGGCACCTCAGCTGTGGCTCTGCCCTGCTTGCCCCATGGCCCTCCTCTGAAGTCAGCCTGGGCAGGCACCTGCTTAGGGCCATGCTCGGAGAGCACCTTTGCCTAGGCTGCCCCAGCCGCCTCTGGAGGGGCAACACGCCTCAGGGTGGGCGATGCTGGCTGAGCCTCCCTTGCAAGCGCTCCAGCCGGAGGCCCTGCCGGGAGCTGGACTTCTGCCCGGCCGGGCTTCACCCAGTGGTGGGGAGGGGCGGGTAAAGTGGCAGAAACGTCTCCATGCAGGACAGAGTAGGGGCTCCCACCCCCATCAGCTGCCTGAGTTGCGTGTATCAGCCATGCAGGGAGAGTACTCTCCAAGTAGCCTTAATTCCTGGAGTGTGATGTTTGGGGGTGGGGGGTGATCTATCCCAGGGCCTGCTTTTTCACCTGGCCTGCAGGCCTCTAGCCAAACCCGTCCCCTGCTGGTGCTTTAAGGGAATCAACCCAGCTGGTGAGAACCTCTTTTCTCTAGGCAGAGAAAAGTAATCGGGGTGGGGGGAAGCGGGGAGAAAAGAAGGCAGTCTCTTTCCAGCCTGAAGTTTCTTTAAGCCAGCACTGGGGAACTGTAAGCAGGATCTATATATAGACCTACTGATTTCCAGTTGCTGGACCCAAACTCTTTCACCCTTGCCCTTAGAAAGCAACTCCTTCTACATGAGTGGAGCCAGCGTTCAGGAGTGTGCTTAATAACCCAGTTCTGTTCTGATGACAACAAGCCTACATGTTCAAGGGTATGCAAAGGTGCCCTGTTTCACAATTTCCAGCAATGAATCTGTCCCAGTGGATAGATCACGGAGTTCTAGGAAAAGCAAAGCAGGTCCCATCAGCCTGAAAGAGCAAACGACAGACACGTCCCTTCGGTTGCTGCTGGTCTGGGAGCAGGTCCTTTTCACTCTGGGTCTCCGTGGAGACAACCCTCCTGGGCGCATTTGCACAAAAGCAAGCTGCACTGTGTGCTCCTGACACGGTTTACACAAGGCCTTAAAGCCAACCTGTCCAGCATTCCCTTCTGTCTGCTACTAGTTCACTGATGCAATTGTTTATAAATTAGATGGTATACACATAATTACATCCATATCTAGCCAATACACCCTCCCTCAAATCTTTAGGGCATTAAAGGAGGCCACCGTATCTCAAGCAAATCACACCCCTTGGAAATAACACCTGTTGCGGAGGAGAAACCTTTGCTGGCCAGGAATTGGCTACCTTCCAGAAGGAAGCAGCAGGGCCGTCAGGGACTCAAACCCAGCTGATGCCTGAGCCTCACCTGGGCCTGCTGCTGAATTAGAATTGAAAACGAGAAGCTGCATTGCACCGAACTGAAATTCAGAACTCACGCAGTTGTATTATTCCCATCAGATGTGTGACCCTGCAGCGTGGTCTCGTAGGTCCAAATAGAGTCGACGGCATCTGTCACACAGGCCGAATGAACCTTCTCGTGCGCTCTGCTTGCCACCTTTTCTACGCATGCAGTGAGAGATTTTTATTTCCCTTTGATCTTGCCTAGCTGCCTTCCCTTCTTGGTAACCGATGATTGCCAGCACTTCTTTAGAACTGAAGGAAGAGGTTCTTTTCCCAAACGACAGGCCAAATGTCCTGCTCTTCTAAGGTTACGAAGATTTCCCTGTTTCTGATTGTATGTTCGGGGTTCTAGAACTTTCCTTTTTTAACAGAATTGTGGCTCAGAATCCGATCAGCGCCCTCCCACAGCTGATGTAGTGAAAATGATCCTGCTCAGTCTGGGAACATTGCAATCCATCCACCCTTTGGCATGCAACATGAAGTTGCTGTTTATCTAGCACATCTCAGAATACCTTATGAAGGGAATGGAGTGATAATTTATTTTATTTGCTTTTTGCCCAGAGAGTACCCTGGGTAGCTATATGTCCCCATTACTAAGCACAACGGTAATTAGTGCTAAATTGCTCCATAAACAAACAAAACCAGATTAGAGATAATAAATTTTTCACTGTTTATTTTAATCATTGCATTATCTTCCAGAAGAGTGATAACCCTCTGAACCCAAGTATCTCGCTTTACCAGCCTTGAACAATAGTTTATGGTACAGGAAGTGTTTTATTTCTTTTTAAGCTGGTTCTTCCTGGTCTTTCAGCCTTCACAGTGTATCTTCCTTCAGCTCTGCATCTGAGCTGGGAAAGAGGAAAGCCAACATTTGTCCCAAGCTTCAGTCCCCAAAATATACTAACTGCCCCCCCCGTCACCAGCACCACTTCTGCTGGCATTCCTGAACCCAATTCATTTGTCTTTGAGCGAGCATCACATCAGAGCAATCCTACCGAAATAGTTGAACGACCTGTGCTCAGGAACATTGTAGGATCTTTTTGTTTAATATAATTTATATTGAAGAAACTTTTAGCAAAATAAAAGCAATACCACTATTAGAAAAGAAACAAAATTAAAAAAGCATAGTGAATAAGTAAGGAAAATAGAAAAAGAAAAAAGGGGAAAAATTATAAAGAAGCAGCTTCTGATCTTTTTGCAGCGTTTATAAATGCATTTATATTTTACCTTCTCTAAAGTTACATCATAATTTCCTTCTTCCATAAGCTACTCTTTCTAATCATCAAACGCATAAATCGCAAATTCATTTTTTGCTTTTTTTCAGCATAAAGTCCAAAAGGGGTTTCCAGTCACTAATAAATGTAATCTAAGCAAACAAGTTAATTTTGACATCTCTGCTAGTTCTGTCCTCTTCACCAACCATTCCTCCATTGCGGGTATATCAGAGTTTTTCCATTTTTGTGTGTATAGCAGTCTTGCAACAGTAATCATATATAAAAATAGTCTTCCGTGGCTCTTTTCTTGTTGTCTGTCCATTAACCCCAACAAGAAAAGTTCTGGTTTCAGTTGAATCTTAGCCTTTAAAATTCTTTGTATCAGTGTATGTATTTGAACCCAAAAATTTCTGGCTTTTTTACAAGTCCTCCAGGCATGATAAAATGATCCTTTGGGTTTCCCACATTTCCAGGATAAATTTGAAGTACCCTTATACATTCTAGATAATTTTTCTGGAGTCATACACCAACAGTACATCATTTTTTTAGAAAGGAATATTTTAGGATCTTTTAAATCTTTAATACATATACTGCAATGAATAAATGGATCACCAGTTTTAAACATTACGGCAACAAAATCATGTAATTTAAAAAAGAAGATGGGAAAGGGAATCCTGTGATGGACCTTGCCCACTCTTTCCATTAGAGCTGGAAGAAATAAAACAATTGCAGGTAGGTAAAATGTGCATTACTAGTGCGTTGATGGTCTCAGCAAATAATGCATTAAAACGTCCCACAGATGGTAGTAAAATAGGGCCCCTCCTGAGAGAAATTAAAACTTATAAATGGTGTGGGGCGTGTGTGTGTGTGTGTGAAAATTCATTCCAATGCCAATGTCCATGTCACCAGAAAGGCAGGATCATATCTACTTTTAAATAAGTTGTTACGCGCCTTAAACTAGAGAGATGGCTGAGCTTTTACCCTCCTGTCAACTCCGTTCAGTCCCTGTTGGGCAGAGTGGCAAAGCGAGTTCCCGTCTCCTTGGATCACCCCAATGAGGGTTTTGCCTTTATCATTGGCTGGGCACCTTGTGCCCAGAGACTACCGCCTCTCTCCACACCAGCAGCTTCGGTAATCAAGGTGGCTCTGAAGCAAAACTCAGGGTTGCTTTTTGGACTAAGCAAATCTGCACGCCTGTATTTCTCCTCCATTCTCTGCAAAATCTTTCCTACTTCTTTCCGTTCCTTTGCAAAGCTAACATTTCAAAGCAGATGTTCCACAGTTATCCTGGCTTTCCTTTTGCAACTTCCTCTTCTCCTTCTCTAGCTCTACCCTTCCCAGTATCCCCCTTTTCTCCCTCTGCCCCAGGGAACAGAAAAAGAATCAAGGAACTATAAGTGGAATAAGAAGGATAAAGGAAAAGTAATTTCCTCTGTGCAATCACGCTGGAATGGCTTGAGGTGGTTCTGCTCCTTCACAAAAAGGTCGTCTTCTGCCTTTAAGCTACAGTGGAAAAAGCTAGACCAGGCTCGGTTAATAAATTCCTAGATTATTGATCAGAGTTTTGCAAGAGCTGCTAATTATTTTATTATTGCTCTTAAGAAACCACTCTTTCCACATAGTTAGATGAGGGAAATGAACATCCACACAGGAATAGGCTTTTGTGTAACAGTTACAAACCCAATTCTGTTCTGATAAAAACAAATTGTGGTCTGAGTGCCTGTTCAAAGGTGCCTGTTTCTCAATCCTAATAAACCCTTTGGAAGCAACTCTTCCCTATTCAGTTAATTGTTTCAGGAGCCCTTGAACTTGTTCACATTGCCCCAGGCTCAGGGAGTGTGACAAAAGGGTCCAGATTTTTAAGGGTCTACCCAGAGAAACTTAATTGACTAGGATGGTCCCAACCGCCCCCGCAAATCAGCAGTCACTCTCAGGCCCAGCCGTTTCCTAGGCGTGACAGTGAGTCCTGGTGGGACAGCAGACATGGCTACAGTACCCTGTTCCTTACAAACTACCTGGAGAAATTTTGCATGGCGCATTAGAATTTGCTCCATTTGTGCATTTTTAAGCAAGAGATTAAAAATATGTGTGAGAGAGCTTTTAGTGTCCTGTGGAGAAACTCGTACAAGAAAACTGCTGGGGTTGTTGGGGCCTGGGGTGACTTTGGGGTGACTTTCTCAGAGGAACTCCCTCCCTGCAGAATAGGTTGCCCCACAAGCTGGGTCAGCCCCCACTGTTTTTTTGCTTTAGAAGAGTCTTCTTTGGCAGGGCGTTTGGAGAGGAAGACCCCTAAGAGGGACACCAGTATATGTGGATGTGAATGTGTGATTTTTGTATGTTACGGTGCTGTATTTTGCAATACGGCTTTCAGTATTGTGAGCCACCTGCGGTCTGGTAAGTAGGGCCCATACAGATTGCTGGAATGAATGAATGAATGAATGAATGAATGAATGAATGAATGAATGAATGAATGAATGAATGAATGAATGAATGAATGAATGAATGAATGAATGAATGAATGAATGAATGAATGAATGAATGAATGAATGAATGAATGAATGAATGAATGAATGAATGAATGAATGAATGAATGAATGAATGAATGAATGAATGAATGAATGAATGAATGAATGAATGAATGAATGAATGAATGAATGAATGAATGAATGAATGAATGAATGAATGAGCAGATTGCTTCTGAAATGCTGTGGCTTATCCGGGTTCTGCTGAACTTGGGCGCCACGTTATGGGAATCCTTCCTTTTCCTTCCCAGGTTCTTCCGGTGATACATCGTTCAGAGCCACAGACCAGGGATACGAGAATGAGAAGCAGCACAAGAAGGTGAGCTGCGGAGGCACAGAGCTCGGTCTGTAGGAAATAGATTTAGGAGAAGCCTGGACTGAAAGGCTGGGCGGGGCTGTGTTCCAATTCAGCAGGATACAGTGCTTTAATCCAGAAAAGTATTGCTGATGAGTTAGTCCTTCCTGTCCAGGTCACAAACACATTTATTTGCATATTTAATTTTCCAAAATCCTTTGCTTTGGAATGGGTATCTAGACTTCAAGATGGGAAAAAATAACAAATTCTTCATCTAAGAAAAATCCTTAGCGTGGGAAAGTTGAAATTGCTTTCACCATTTTTGCCTACGTTAATCAATGACAATCAAGGATAGCCCTGGAGAACTAGCAGAAAATCCTCCTGCATATTTAGAGTTAGCCTCCAGCCCAGTTTCACTTCTTGCTCTGGGGGTTTGGTTGGTAGATGACACCGTAGACGGAGCCTGAGTCTGTGGGCTCTCTCAGCGGTCCCACAGGAAGTGAAAGAAGGCCCAGGCCCTTAATCAGCACCTTGCACTGAGCCCAGAGGATGAGGGACTAGGTGCTGGGGTGTGGATTAACTTCCGTGGAATTTACTTCTAGTGTTTTTACTTAAGAAGGCAGCTTAAGGTGAGCCCAGGAAAGTCTGTTAGAAATCAAAGGAAACAGGAGTACCATGTGGTTACATGACCCCACGCTCTAGAGTTGTTAGGATTCAGATATGTGCCAGTTCCTGGAATGGCCAGACCGAGGTGCAGTTGGTTAATGTTTTGCATGTTGGATAGACAGTCACATACAGGACGCTTGATCCAAGAAGGGATTGCGGTGATTGTGAAGGGTCTGCTAGAGGCCCCCTCCTAAGACCAGGAGTTCACACGGCGTGATGGGCAGGAAGATGGCTTCAGCAGAGTTGAAGCTGGTGGTCTGAAATGACTGTCATCTTTTGCCTCAAGTTTTTTTTCTTTTCTTTCATTTTTAGCAAGGAGTAGCTAAGTGAGGCTGTTCCCACCTTGCTTCTCATATCAGTTTGTTAGGATGCTGCCTTGTGGTGTAACACTGGACATAGGATCCCCCTTGGCCGGCAGCAACCATGCATGGTGTAGTGCTGGGCAGAGGCTCCAGGCCAGCTTGGTAGCAAAGCTGGTGCCAAATGATTGTGCTGGAAAGGGAGAACACCCACCCTCTAGCCCAGTGTTGTTTGCAGAAGGTGGTCACCCAAAAATTCTCTGGGGGTAAGATGGGAAGCCCCTGTTGATCTGAGACCCACAGGTCTCTGTGTGAGATCAGAGGTCTCCCTGAGCACCGTCATCCCTTCTGGCTTCCCTTCCCCACAGAAGCTCCCTGAGCAATTTGGGCCTCTGTCAGCAAAACATACTTCACAGGGTTGGTGCTGGGAGATAAAATTGGGGAAGGGGATGCTATGTGTCCTACCTTCAGTTGCAGAAGGAAAGGTAAGATAATAAATGATTTTATGGTGTTTTGCAAAACAAAGTCATTCAGTAGATGGGTCACTATGTCACCAGTGTGTCTAATTCAACTGTCATGCAGACATTTATTCTTTTTTAGCAGGACAAAAGCAGCATTCTGTGCATAGCTAATGTTCTGTTTAGGACACTTTTAAAGGGGGCAGAAAGCTTAATGTTGGCTTGTGCTGTCTTGTAGTGGCTGGGCCCCCCTCACCCCCACCCAGAACCAAAGAAGGCCCCAGTTCCTCCCCGGGACACAGACACAGACCATGTTGCACAATGGAGAAATGATTTTTCTTCTATGTTTTTGCAGTCTGGCATGCCCTCTCTCCCTTCTGCTTGAATGTTTTGTTCTGTGAAATGTCCTTCATCTTTCTGTAGAACTGGACAAGGGCATAGGCAACATTGTGCATGTGTGAAGCAGCACATCATCTCACGTTTTCTGCCTGTGTATCGCACAGTGAATATTTTCTTCGTGGCAGCAGCATCAGGGATTTTCTACCCCAACAGCAGCAGAGGAGGGAAGGTGTGTTTCTGAGCAGCGAGGGTCTTCTTGGACTGATACGTTGAAAAACTCCATAGAAGAAAACTGCCTGGTGGGGGGAACTCAGCAGGAAGGAGGGTGGTTTTTGATGAAGCCTGTTTCGCTGTGGCGTGACCGTCCCTCCTGCTCCCCTCCCTCCCTGGAGAAGTGCCCCTGGGTTGGAATGGCAGTGGAAGAGAGGGGGCTGCTTAACTATCCCGGAGAGGGCCGAACTCCAGAACGCTCCCTTCCCTAAAGAAGGCAGCCTTTGAGGCTGGTGGTGCCAACTCAGCATGCGTCCGACTGCACTTTGCAGTGCCACCCCATTTTTGCCAGACCCCTTTGTGTCGCTGGCCTTGGGGGCTTCTGTCTGGGGAAGGAAGGCTTTACTGGCCCTCCTGGAAGCCTGTGCGCAAAACCACACCTTTCACAATGGTGTTAATATTTGACCCGGTAGGAAACAAGAATGCTAATGAAAGACTGCCTCTGGTTGGTCCAGAACGTTTTTGAGAGCACTAAGGATGGGTAAATTTCATTTATCAGCCATCCGGTTGCAACTCATCTCCCAGAACATGCATTCAAATCTTACCCATCATTTCTGCTTCTTTGCGTTCCTGTGCCCTGGTCACAGCAGTTCTAAAGCGATTCTCTAGTTGTGTGGCTAGAAAGGGCACTCAAAGAAATGAAAGTTGCCCATATTTGCACAGATTGTGCCAACTGTGCGGGTGTTATATGTACATCTGCAGCATAACTGAATTGGCAGTGAGATGAACACGTTTGGAATATTCTGTCCTGCAAGATTTTAACACAAATTATGATTGTCTGGACAGTCCCAAATATTCCAGAGAGGGCTGGCATATTTGGACTCTTCAAGTACTTTTGGTTTTCCTGTTTTATGTTGCACTGTCTAGGCCTCCTTAGGGAAACTTCTCAAGGGGACCTTAATTGTGTTAAACGTCTCTTGTCGTGACTGAGTAGAACTGCTTTCATTTGAAGAATTCCTAGAAAGCAGATGTTTGGCATGAAGGCTTCTGCCCGTTGTCATTTTTGCGTTGAGCTATTCCTCTGGTTCTGTTGTGTGCCCTGTCTTTGTGTTGCACCCTTTGGTTAACATTATGGCTCCCCTCACCTCCATTTTTTTCCTTCTCGTCCTTTTCACAAACGTGTGGCAGGGTCTTCTGGGCGAGCTCATTCTCTTGCAGCAGCAAATCCAGCAGCATGAAGAGGAGGTCCGCCGAGCCGCTGACCAATATGGGCCAGGCTCCTCCCAGCAGAAGCGAAAGGTGATGGCTTTCAGATAGAAAGAGAAGGCCCCGGGATGCTCCTGCTCTCCTCCACCCTGCTTTCACCTAATCAGGCCCTTCGCAGTGATTGAACTTTGGTTGCTGGGCTTTCTGCTCAACTCCTTCTTTTTAAGAATGCACCAATCCGTTTGCTCCTACTTCATCACGGGGTTGTCCTTTTAGCATGTTGATTCCTGTCTTTTTAATTCTCACAAAAGCGATGTTAAGCCCTGAAAAAAATGCATGTGTAACCAGGCAGTTTTTCCATCAACTTCTGAGACCAATGTATGCTGATGGGGACAAAGGCTGTTATGATGGTGATCTTTCTGGAGGCACTCTGTGGTCTTTTCCAGCATGGCTCAGTAGATATCAGTGGTAAGAAGGTAAAGTATCTTGAACAGCTTTTGGACGTCATATCTGAACTTCAGACCCTCCACATTTTATGTTTGTGCCTCTGAATTTGAAAGATCCACCCGATTCTACAGATTTGCAATTTCTGTAGAACTTTCACATAAGGTGGGGGAACACAGAATGGGAATGGCAAGGGGAGCTCAGAGTTGAGGAAAGAGGCAAGACAGTTGGAGAGGTCCAAGGTGAGGTTGTGGCGCAAACTGTTCTGGTTCTCAAACAGATCCCTCTTCTGTGTAGACGAGCATGGGCTCTAAGACCTGCCATCGGAGCTCCGCCTGCTGTCTCACTGCCAAGGCTGTTGAGTGAGCCAGTAAGAGAGGTAGCATGGAAGGACAGCAAGTCATTTTCCTTTTGGGAAGTTCCTGTCAGCCTCCTGGTCAAATGCTGAAAAGTTTTTTAATATTTAACTCTTCCAGTGCTTTTAATGACTGGATAGTCACCCAGAGATAAGCTTAATTGCTTTTCGAATTTGTACTTTAGTCCTGGATGGTGATTATTGCTTTAATCTGCTTTCTGTGAACCAAGGAACAAGGTATATCAGGATCTTCTATTCCATGTACAGGTGGTGGTCATCCATATCTTGGATTTTATTGCAGCCCAGAAATCTCTTCTTTTAGAGAAAATGGATTAATCCACAGCCAAAGCCATCTCAGTATTTTCATCTGCCCCAGTGAAGGGTTAAAGGCTGCCAGCTGCTTCAATCAATTCTGCTTTTTTTCTGTTGTGGAGAACAAGCAGAATAGACCCCTTAAATGGGAGATGATTTTAAAAGTCATATAATCCAACCACCTCCATTCACTGTCTGCAGTGCAGCACACAGTGGTGGCTTTGCTTCAGCAGCTCTGGTGAAACAGAACCCCTGCTTCCTGTGGCAGCGTGACCATTGCTGAACAGTGCTGACCATTAGGAAGTCTTATTGCCCCTCGGCTCCTGTCCTGCCACTGTGGAGGCAGACAACGAGGTGACTCCTCTCCTGCAGAGTAGCTGCTCAGATGCTTGAAGACTCCTTCCCCTTGGCCAAGCTCCACCATGTTTGTCAACATGATACTCAGAACCGAACTTGAATGGATGGCCACCACCGAAGATGATTCTAAGGGTGGATTAGACCAAAGCATGGAGCACTTGGGCTCTCAGCGGCTCCTGGTGTTGACGGTGTTTGTTGCCTTCCCCGAAATCCCAGCTGCAAGGGAGCAGCAGTGGAAGAGGCTGTTGGAGACGCTGCTTCTGAGCTGCAAATTCCCCCTAGACCGTTTTGTTCCCAGCGTCTTCCAGATCTCCCTGCCTGTCTTAGGACCAAAATGGTCTTGCTTGAGAGAGCTGAACATCCTTAGGCACAGGTTTAGGCAAAGGAGATGCTTTTTCTGATTTCTTGCTTGTGAACCAATTGTTCATAAAGGAAAGGAGAAAACACGATGGTTGGCCAACAGTACCTTAACTGTTCTGGAGAAGCAGGAGATGCAGAACGCATAAACCTTTTGCACAGCTTGGGGATTGTTGTGGGTGCTTTTCAGTATTGCTGAAAAATGTGCTCATCTTTGGGTATCAGAGAGGCTCACATGAGAGCAGGCCAGCGTTATTGGGTGGTTGCTTTAACTTTGTACATCACCCAGGGTTGGGTGGCTCTAGAAATGTAAACAGCCAGTCGCTATCCCCAATGTCACCTTGTCTCCAAACCCTCCCAGCAGAGGCGCTGCTAGCTGTGTCGTCCCAGCTGCCAGCCCAGGGGTCGTCTTGGGCTGAATGGAGGGCAGTTGAAAGCATTCTGACGGAGAGGCTCTCCCTGTTGAATGGCTGCAGACTTTGGAAAGGCCCTTTGTGTACAAAGGAGTGTCTGTGCCCTTAATACCGGACTCCATTCTGGGGTACAAACAAATGCCAACTTTTTCTCTTCAATTCAGACAACTTTGAAATTGGACAGCTTGTTATTCTGAACATCAGAATAGTTTCTAATAATACCCTATCCATCTTTGCCCCAGTTGAAATTTTTTGAAGCACAATAGTGGTGTGAAATACATGAAAGAGGTATTAATGAGCCTAAGAGAAATCTTTCCCCCAAATCATAAAACCCAGTGCGTATCTTTGCGCACGTTTTTTTTAAAAACTCTTTATTAATAGCTCAGCAGACTTTTTTTGTGCAGAGATAGATGGATTTAGGAGAAGTGAACTATATTATTACAGTGCATATCTAAAAGGTCTCTTCATCTGGAAAAACCTGGTTCCCAAGGACACCTTAGGAAGTAACGTTTTAAGAGTGCGCTTTCTCAAGTACATTGCTAATAAATCTGCAGCTGCTTTGCGAAATAAGGCATCTGAGTAAGTGTGGCAGCCGTTATGGCAAAATACTGTTATGAACAAGTTTGCTTTCAGGTCCAAGCTATCAGTTTGGCAAAAGGACTTGACTAAATCGTTCTTGTAAAAGTAATGGCTCTTAAAGCTTATGGGTTGTGGATCTCTTGCATCTCAAATATTTTGGTTTTTTCAGTGTATTTATAATTTCAGCTTTTATGGCCACCCACTCATACAAGACTCTTCAATCTAACCAACATTAAAACAATAAAGCATTAAACTAATTTATATCCCACTATATAGACATAGGTAACATCTAAAATGCTCAGAGTGCATTTTGTGTTCTTTTGCTGTTGCAGGTTTCTGATAAAGAAAAGGTTGATCAGCTCCAAGAAGAATTATTACGTACACAGGTATGGGAACTTTGCTGCTGTTGAGGCCAAAATCTTAATTTGCCAGATGAATTGCGAAAAAACAAAGCAAGATAAATTAAGCCCCCTGAACTTTTGATCCCCTGGGGGGGTGCCGCTCTGATGGTGACGTTCTTCCTGGTCTCGTAGAATGAGCTTAGAGCCAGATGTGCCAGGCTTGGGCGGCTGATCAGGCTGGGACCAGTCACTGCTGTGTCCTTCAGACGCGTGTAGGTAGAGATCCAGACGTGGGTCCACGATGCTTGTTCTGTGCCTGGAGAGTCCTCACCTTCCAACTCAGCGAGGGCTACAGCAGCAACTGTATCGCCCGTGACCAGCTGGTGCCCATTTTATTTTGCTGTTGAGAGAGTTTGAAAAAAAATGCCATTTAAAGATATAATCAGATCCATTTTGAAATATTTCTCAGATTTAATATAATATACCATTTATCTATAAGTTCATACCCTTTGGGATATTTTTGTCAGGTTTTTTTTTTTTAACCCAAATCCTAAACATTGTGTAAAGAGAATGTCTGTATGGGGCTTCCTCCTCACCTTTGGAGGCTACCTGCGTTGCCACTGATTTTGGCTTCCCAAAAGTGAGGTTTTGGCAGCCACGTTACCCTCTGGGCGACAGGGGAGGCACAATCAAGCTCCCCAAGGTTTCCAACCAGGTGAAGTGAGACACTCCCATTTGGCTGATTTCCCCTTCCAGAAGATGAACAATGCTGGGGAAAGAGGAGGGCAGGCTTGAGAGTGACACCAGCCACCACTTTGAAATAGCATTATTGAAGAACTGTTTCACCTTTCCTTGGAAGCAAAAGTCAATGTTTTGAAGGAATCCAAGACCTTTTGTTGTTAAATTATTGGTAATCATTGTGCTGGGTAAGAGAGCAGCAAACTCTGTAGCCTGTTTCATCTCCCTGCGTGCTCTTCTCCTGCACTTCACTCTCAAGTTCTAATATTCACCATTTCAATCTTTTTGCAGTTGAAATATCAACGGATGCTTGAGCGTTTAGAGAAGGAGAATAAAGAGCTGAGGAAGATTGTCTTGCAGAAAGATGAGAAAGGCATTCATCAGAGGAAGCTAAAGGTAATGAATACAGAACGTCTTCCATGCTCTTGTGACTCGTTGGTGCTATTCCTAGTAGCAGTTTTCACTTTGTAAAAGCGTGCCCTCGCATGGATGGCATCCCCGTTATTTTGGAGATGATGTCGTATCTTAGAGATAGCACAAGTTCTCGAGGCATTTTCTTGTGATGCCCCCCTTGGGTGCGGCACATACCCTCAGGAACCTGGCATTCATTTCCCACCTTTCCTCTGAGAGCAGCATGGTTTGCGAGGCAGTCTCCTCTTTGCTTATTCAGTCCACAGCTGTGGCCCAGCAACATAGAGTGGACTGAAAGAGGGTGAGTGACCCAGAGCAGTCCACAAGGAGTTAAGTGTGGATCTTTCCACACCAGTTCTGCACTAGAGCGTCTCCCGGTATTTGCCTTCAGTTGTACTATGACAGTGGTAATCTTCCTTCTTCCCCGTGCTTGGCTTTGGCCGCGTTCACCAAGTGAATTATTTCTTCCTTAGAAATCTTTGATTGACATGTACTCTGAAGTTCTGGATACGCTGTCAGATTACGATGCTAGCTACAATACCCATGACCACCTGCCTCGGGTAAGTTGGAGATGAGCCTGCATTCACCCTGAAAATGGGTAGATTACTATCTTCCAGTTCAGCTGTGAGGAAGAGGAAGGCTGCTACAGTTATGTAATGGCTGAACATGCCCAAATTGTGAGGGTAGGCAATTTCTGCCCTAGTTTTGGGGCATCCTAAGTAGATTATATCTACATGGCATGTATTTCCCTTGATGTCATTGGATCTTCTGTACTGGAACTTTTGAAAAGCTTCGTTTAAAATTCAGGAAGCTGCCTCTTACAGAATAGGAATTCTGGAGTGGCGGGTAAAAAGTGCAGTTTGTCCCAACTCAGGAGAAATAATTTGTTTCTTTGAAAAACCAGCATTTGCATTTCAGGTGGTTGTGGTTGGAGACCAGAGTGCTGGCAAAACCAGTGTGCTGGAAATGATAGCTCAAGCCCGGATCTTCCCTCGAGGCTCAGGAGAAATGATGACACGCTCACCTGTTAAGGTGGGGATATTAAATAACTGAACTACCAAAACCATGAGCTTTCCAGAAGGAGAGCCTGTTGGGCATGATCCCAGTGAGATATGCTCCGATGTCTTATCGGGTGCTTTCTCTTTTTTGAATCCACTTTGGACTTTAGGTCACTCTCAGCGAAGGTCCTCACCACGTGGCTGTGTTCAAGGATAGTTCTCGAGAATTTGATTTGACCAAGGAGGAAGACGTAAGTTTCAAGGATCAGAATGCTATCAAAGTATTTGCTTTTTTTTTAATCATACCCCACAGCCTGTAGAATGAATTATCTGTCAGTAGATGTGTGACATTTTTGGTCAGTGGCGTCAAGAGAGATCGGCTCATTTTACAAATGGAACCTGGCCAAAGTGAGCTGTGGTGAATCCTTCCTTGAGGAAGGGGTGATGTCAGTGTCCTTGAAAGAGGCTGTGGTGCCCCTCTCTTCAAGAAGGCCTCAGCCTGGCTCTTCTAGGGAATTCTCGCTGTATCTCCCAGTTTCCTTTCTTGGGGGAAGGTTGTTGAGGTGATGGGACAGAGTTACAGAGCGTCCTGGACAAGGTGAAGCGTATGGGTCCTTTTCAACCTAGATTCAGACCGTGGCATGGGACTGAAACTGCATGGGACCTTTCACTTGTGGTTGAGCTGTTGTGGGGCCTTTCTGGGACCTTTAATACCATCAAACATGGTATTCTGACTGACTCCAGATGGGTTCTGCCCCCATAGACAGCAGGTCACAATGTGAGGGTCCTCCCGGACTCGGGTTCTGATAGAAGAGCAGGTAGAGGCCACAGCCAGGGGTTGCTTTGGCTGGCACACCGGGCGCGGCCTTTCCTGGAGCGGGAGGCTGTATTGATGTTCACTCATGCTCTTGTCGCTGGTCGAATGAATGAGGGTAATGGCAATTTGTTCTATATGGGACTGCCCTTGAGGACCATTCAGAAGCTGCAAATGGTTCAAAATGCAGCTTCCAGCGTGATAATGGCTCAGGCCCAATTTAACCACGTAATACCTCTATTGTGGGAGCTGCAGTGTTTGCCCATCAGCTTCAGGATGCAATTCCAGGTGCTGGTTGTATGGCTTGGGGCACGATTCTCCACAGGTGGCCTAATCCAGGGGGAATCTGCTTGTCCGATGTCATTTCAGTGAGGTGGGGAGGGGAGAGTTGAGCCTTTTCTGTCATGCCTGGTGGAGGATCTGTGAACGTGTCTGTCTGTTTGTTTGCTTGTTTATTGATTGGCCAAGTTTATAAGGCAGCCCCACTCCACAAAAGCTCCACAGTAAGCACTCTGGACGCCCGTCCTCTGTGGCCTCTATGATTGCTCTCTTCTTCATTGCCATGCCGTAGGATGCCTTTTCCAAGACCAGATTCTGTGCAGCTCGACACTCTTGTTGTTCCAGAGTGGTAGAAGAGACTTCTGCCTTGAGTGTTTCCCCTCAGGACTGCTAAGGTCTGATTCTGTTCATTTCTGATTGTGCTGAAACAGCTGGCAGCCTTGAGAAATGAGATTGAGATCAGGATGAAGAAGAGCGTGAGCAGCGGCTGCACGGTCAGCTCGGAGGTAAGGCCTGTCTTCTTCTGCCCCGCATCATTTTATCCCCTTCCTACTTCCGGAGAGGCTTTCTAGAAAGTCCCTGGGGTGCAGAATGTCCTGGGCTCCTCTCTCCCTCTCCCTCTCCCCCTCAAGCTGCGCTATTTCCTTTGCAGACGATATCACTCAGCGTTAAAGGTCCTGGCCTGCAGAGGATGGTGCTGGTGGATTTGCCCGGGGTCATCAGTGTAAGTGTCCTGTGCTGGGGAGGGAGACAGTGCTGAAGTTCCGGTGGGCCTTGGGCATCGTTCCATCAGCCTCAGTTCCCTGGCTGTAAAATGGGGGTGCTGCTGTCCTTCTGGGAATGGATGAAAGAGGCATCCCCCACATTCTTTGCAAAGAAGTCAGAGTGGTGTTGTGGTCGCAGTATGATCCACGTTCAGGTCCACACTCGGTCACGGAAGCCCAGGGGATGATCTGGGGCTACGCCATTTCTCTCAACCCAACATCACCTCACCAGGCTGCTGTTAGCAGAGGGAGTGTTGCGTACACCAAGGTTAGGTGGCCTTTTCTACCTTGGGGGCTGCAGCATTTAAAATACATTTTAAATGTTTAATTTAAAAGAAATATGTGTTCTAAATTAAAATGGCCGAAATCTGACACAGACCTCTTCTGCATTTTGGTTACCTCTTGAGGTCTTAGCTGTTTTAATTTTAAAAAAAGTTTAAAATGTTGGCCAGTGAGGAGATCTCGGGGGACTTCCTTAGATTCCCTCCTGGAGCCTTCAGGAGAACTTGGTTCCCGGATGAAGTTAGAACTTGGTCTCAGCAGGAGGCACCCCCTGGAGGCTAAGGCAGCCCCGGCCTAGCTCCAGATCTCACCCCTGGAGAAGGTGGCCGTGGAGCACTGCTTCCATAACCTACCAAGAGGGCCACATGGTCCTCACTCAACCCAGAGGAGGCCTTCCTGCGCTGGCTGCCGGTTGGCCTTTCCTTCGGCTGAGTTGACAGGCCAAGATTTGAGCCGATGGGAAGCGCCATTTGGGGGGTGCCTTGTTTTTTACTGGGCTTAGTCTTCCTGATCTTCAGGCTGCTCTCAGGGTTTGGAGTTTGGCTCGCTTACGTGTTGCAGAAATTGGTGCTCGAAACATTATCAGTCCATTCATAGAATAGGACAGGCTAGGGAAGAAAACCCTAATTAATCCAGCCTGTTGAGGACAAGAAAAAAGAGATTTAAACCACAGAAATATGTCTGTTAAACATTTCCATGAGTATCCCAGCATGAAATTTTAAAAATTTATTGCATAAGAAAATATTTATTTATTTATTTATTTGTTTGTTTATTATATCACTTTACATAGCTGCCCGTCTCACAGTTGCAACTCTGGGCAGCAGACACAAGCTTAAAAACCAACAGAACAAAAATAATAAATCATAACAGTAAGCAGCAGTACTACCTGAGGGCAATCAAACGTAAGCCACTTAACCAGAGGCATGCCAAAGAAAACCACAATGATGGGCTCACCCGACCTGCAGGCCTTGTGCCCAGGGAAACATCCAGGTCTTCAAGGGTTTACGAAATGCCAGCAGAGTTGGGGCCAAATGAATCTCAAGTGATTTGATGTTCCGAAGGGCAGGAGCCATGACAGAGGAGGTCTGTTCCCTGGGTACTTTATAATAGGCGGCAAGCACCTGGAGCATGCCCACTATGGCAGATCTGGTGGGCTGGGCCAAAACAGAGAGAGAGAATCCCACAAATAACCTGTTTCCATGCCATGAAGTGTTTTATAGGGGATAATCAGCACCTTGAATTGCCCCTGGAAGTCTGCTGGGATCCAGTGCAGTTCACAGAGCAGTGTATAACATGGCGTAGCTAGGTGCACTCTTAAGTGCCTGCGCCACCACATTCCGATCCAGCTGCAACTTCTGACTGGTCTTCAGGGGCAGCCCCATGTAGAGCACAATGCAGTGATCCATTCAGGAGGTAACCAAGCATGAATAACCAAGAGCAGGGCCTCCTGATCCAAGAAGGGGTGCAATTGGCACACAAGATGGATCCGTGCAAAAGCCCTCCTGGGCATGGCTGCCATTTATAGCTCAAACGGAATCTGAATCCAGGAGGAGCCCCAAATTCCGCCCCATTGAGAACTAAGGACAGCAAATTCCCAGATCCGAGGGGCCTTAGAACCCCAAACCGTTCAGTCTTGCTAGGGTTGACTTGAAGCATCCCAAATGAACAGTTCGCTCCTGAATGCAGCTGCCTAGAGAAGCTGCACATTGTTCCTCCACAGAAACGTCAAATACAGACATGGAAACAAGCCTCAGCTGGCCCCACGGTCCTCTCGTGTCATCCCCCTCTCTTTTCACAGACGGTGACCTCAGGGATGGCTCCAAACACAAAAGACACCATCTTCAGCATCAGCAAAGCCTACATGCAGAATCCCAATGCCATCATCCTGTGCATTCAAGGTAACCAGGGTCTTGCTGGGCCCTCGGAAGGTTTTGCTCATGGAAGATGAAACCCTGCGTTCATTTGGGCTTTGGGCTGTGGTGCTTGCAGAGCGGGCTGTCCTTTGCTCCTGCCCTGGCCTGAGCAGAGTGAGGCAGGGCAGGGATGATTCTGTCCTTGTCCGTGCTCCACTCTCCGACGGTTGGATGTTCAGCTGCTCCCAGAGTTGAACAGGGATGCCTGTTCTGCCTTTCGCTTTTAAGGAGCCCCTGCTTTCCCTCCAGGAGCAACTCTGAGCTTTCGTTTCCTTTCCAGACGGGTCTGTAGATGCGGAACGCAGCATTGTCACCGACCTGGTCAGCCAAATGGACCCTCAGGGCAGGAGGACCATCTTTGTTTTAACCAAAGTGGATCTTGCGGAGAAAAATGTGACCAGTCCAAGCAGGGTGAGGGGGAGAACGATTTCATGGAGCAGAAGTTGCTCAGCTAGCAAAAAGATTTTTAAAACGCCATGTTTCCCATAGGAAGCTCTTACCTGGTAGGAATAACCAGACGATTCTGGTCAGGTTTGCTGGGCGGATTCTGGGTCTGTAATTTTGCTTCCTTGTTTCTTCCATGGAAAGTTTGCTCATTAGCTGAAGTTAGCAAAGGTTTTATGTCTTCTGGGTGTGTTTTCTCCTCTGTGTGCGTGTGTGTGTGTGTGTGTGTGTATCTGAAGCTACAAAAAAAATAACATGCTTCATGGCTAGTGTGCTAGTTGGATACTCATAGGAAAGTGCCTGTAGACCAGTGTTTCTCAACCTTGGCAGATGTGTGGACTTCCACACACATTCAAGCTGCCAAGGTTGAGAAACACCACTCTAGACAAATGGTAGTTGTGTATGCAAATGGCTTCTGTGGGGCATCAAGGGGACCTCCTGCCTTGCCCTCAGCTTTGAACACAGTCATGCGGGTGCAGAACAAAGGATCGGGAATTCTGCCTTGCTGTGCTTTGGGCCGGTGTCGTCGTTCCCAGCCCCAGGATGTAATCTGGGGCTTCTCTGAATTCACGCTGCCAGGCTGGGTTGGCTACAAGAGTTCCCCTGCTCTGCATGTAGAGGGGTGCGGAGGGGAGTTTGTGGAATTACAGAGATGGCAGGGTCCTCTTCACGGAAGGTGGTGGACAGATAGCCATTGGTCTGTCAGGGTGCTTTACTTTTGATTTCTGCCCTGAGCAGAGGGGGACTGGCCCCTGATCTAAAGGGCACCTTGTGACTGGGTGGCGGGTTTTGCCTCGTGGGTAAAGGAAACCCAAGCAAAACTCGTGCAGCTTCCCTCTTTTTACAGATTCAGCAAATCATCGAAGGCAAACTCTTCCCAATGAAGGCTCTGGGGTATTTTGCTGTGGTTACCGGAAAAGGTATCTTAAGGTTGGCTTTTGTCCAGCTACTAGACATTTCCTTCCTGTATAGATGATCTCAAATCTCTTTCTCTTTTCTCTCTCTCTAGGAAACAGCTGTGAAAGCATTGAATCTATTAGAGACTATGAAGAGGACTTTTTCCAAAACTCCAAACTATTGAAGTATGCTCATCCTTGGTTTTTAAAGTATGTCTTGCTGGTTTAAAGCCACTTGCTGAGGCATATTTCAGAATTTTTGAGGATGTAAAGCATTTCAGTTGCCCAGGCAGTATCACGCTTATAAAGTCTGACTTGGAATTGGCTGTCCTGAAAACTTTCCAATTCAATGTGATTTTCCTTTGAGTAATGGAAGGCCCCTCCATCAGGAGGCGGAAGGCCACCATCAGCCTTCAGCCTTCTCAGCTGCAAGGTCGATCCAGTGTCTGAGCTCTGGCAGAATATGCTTCCGAACTAGGACATGAACTCGCACTGTGAATCTGGAGAAATGCAACAACTTGTTTCTGGATGGATTGGGGTCTGAACGTTGCATTCCTATGAAGGAGCTGCACAGCGCGACCCTATCAGTGTTTGGAATCCAGTAGGGCTTATTCTCCTTAATCAGCATGTTTAAGGCTACAGCCTCAGCCTACATGCTTCCGAGGAACAGAAGTCTAGGGCAGGGTTCCTCAACCCTGGCAACTTTAAGATGCATGGACTTCAACTCCCAGAATTCCCCAGCCAGCCAAGGTTGAGAAACGCTGGTCTGTGTATGCTTCTGCTGACAGTTATTTATTTATTTATTTATTTAT